GGGCTCTGCCAGCCACCGTGCAGTTAGCTGCGGTTTCTGGTATGTGTGGCACAGAGTCCATTTCCAGCCAGAGGTTCTGACCTCCTGAATCCTTGATGTAACTGTTGTCATTTAGTCCAGCCTCATTTACTCAACTATTTTTCTCATTCCGGGATGCTTAATGTGGAGGATTGTTTCTATTCCGATAACTAGATAATAATTTTTAATAATGTATTTTCAGGTTAAAAACCCCCAGTCACCTTTGCCCTGTCACACTTCTCAGCTTACTCAATGGCACTGGTTCTTAGTTCCTGCTTCTGTCCCCACTAATATCTCACCGATGGCTGGTGGTTAGCTCTTCTCTCTCTCAATACCTCCTGTCAGTTACTAAGAGTCCTGCTGCTCCTGGCCTAGGAAGTTGAGGTGGTTGGTCCCTTGTCCTTTGTACAGCAGCTGACCCCTTGCTGTGTTGGGGGGGGGAGTTCCTCTCCCGACTTGAGGCTGGGGAGGCAAGGCCCCCAGAGAAGGAGAGTACCAAATCGTATGTGCCCCCCAACCCCTGCCCCTACCTCCAGCAGCCAGCCTGGGGTGGGAGGAGTGGGAAACCCACCTTCAACCAAGAGGAGATAAATACTCACTCCTAGGGGTTCTCATCATTGAAGCAGGGACTCTGGTGGTTCTTTTAGGGGCCGGGGCATGGGGACCTGTGGTTGGATGCTTGCTGCGTGCATGAGTCACAGGGTAAGAGACTCAGAGGTTCCTTTGCCTTCAGGAGGAATGCGGGGCCGGACCCTGAACCCTCGGACCATTTACCCAGTGTTGCCAAGACTCCTTGCCCTCCTGCCTGTGTCCTGTCAGAAGCGGCTTCACTGCAGAAGCTACAGCCAGGTAGCACCTGTGTTGTCCAGATTGTCCCTCCCTTCCCTCTCCAGACCGCCCCAGACCTTCCGGGTTCCCTTCATCCCTTTGCTTTCTCCCCCCACCCAGCACCCCTTTCTCTGATGATTTACCCGAGCCTGGCCCATCCTACAGCAGGGCCTGGGCGCAGCGAGGCGACAGCGTGCTGGCCTTTCCTTCCTCTCCCCCCGTGCTGCTGTCCCATCTAGCTGGAGTCAAGCAGGGTCTGGCACCTTTCTGCTTGCGTCGCTTCCGCAGCCCTTTGTGCCCTGCTGCCCATTCCACTCCCTGTGTTCTGTGTGTCCCCAGGACCTCTCTGAGGACACCACGGTGTTCCCGGAGAAGATGAACAATGGGGTGCTGAAGGGCCGCAGAAACGAGGCCCTGGCAGTGCCTGAGGAAGGCCCCGTCCACCAGGGGAGCAGCCCCACCTTCATCCTCCAGGAGACCTCACTCAACACCCAGGCCTCTGTCCACCCTGCCAGGCACTCGGCTGACCCCAAACCCTTTGTCTCTCAAAGACCAAAACCAAGTCCGCGTGTCTGCCCAAGGCAGAGGGTAGAGCTATCACAGACAGGATCTTGGGGTGAAGTAGGGTCTTTCCTTGGCCATCACCAATTTATTCCACAGCAAACATTCTAAAAGCTTTGGTCTCAGGACCCGTTGGACATTCTTTTAAAAGTAAGACTCTGGAGAGCTTTTGCTTTTGTGAGTTATTTCTGTTGATAGTCACCATATTAGAAATTAAAACAGAGACTTTTTAAGAATATTTATTTTTAAATAACATTAATTAACCCACTATATGTGAACATATATAACATTTTTATGAAAAATAATTGTTTTCCACCTCGGAAAATATTTAGTGAGAAGAATGGCATTGCTTTACATTTTTACAAGTATTATCTATTGTAACAGATGTCTGGATTCTTCTACCTGCTCTACATTCCATCTGCTGTTGCAATAGCACATGTCATATACCTTCTGGAAAATTCCATTACACCCGTGAGAGAATGGAGTGAAAAAAGGCAAATAGCATCTTGCATGGTGAAAATAGTTTTAGTCACTTAGAGCACTGAATGGGTCTCAGGGATCCCCCTCCCCCGGGGTTCCTGGTCCTCACTTTGAGTATCTGATCTAGAGCAGGAGTGAGCAAACTTTTCCTGTAAATATTTTAGACTTTACAGTCTGTGGAAGCCATTCAACTTTGCCATGGTAGCAGGAAGCAACCTTTGGTAATCTATATAAACAAATGGCTTTGATTGTATTCCAGTAAAAATTTATTTACACAGACAGGTTGAGTGGGGCTGGATTTGGCCCACTGGCCATAGTTTGCCAACTTCTGATCTCAAATCTAAACTTGCAGAGGCCCTGGGCTTAGGGCTTGTGCCTTCTGACTCATCCTGGCCAGGCTCTGGAAGAAGAGAAAAGGAATTTCTCAGAGAAAACTAAGTTTTCTATTTCTAATAACTGTAGTTCCCAATTTGGTAAGATCTGCGATCTCTACCTCAATACTTAGATAACCCTTGGCCATCTCTGCTTCTCCCAGGACCCGACTAAGACTCTGCCCTGAATCCTGCGGCTCATCGGAATGTGCACGCACATCCAACACTGGGGAAGCTGTCCTCTCCATCTGCTTCCACCCCACCTCGAGCCAAGGGCATGGTGATGGGCCAGGCTGTAAAGATAACCAAGTGGACCAGCCATCCCTCTGACTTCGGAGCTGGGCCACCTTTGTCATCTTGTCATTTTGTCTTCTGTGCTCCTGTTTCCTTTTGGAACCTCTTTCCCACATCCCCCTGTTCCCAGGGAATAAAAGCTGTCTTTGGACCTGAGTCTCAGCTGCCTGCAATTGCTTTTGTCCATCCCACAGACCCCGTCCTGGTGAGAATAAAAAGTCTCCCAGGGAGCAGGTGTTGTTCTTCCTCTGCTGCAGAGGCAAAGGGGGTTAGTCCTGGCTCTGGTTCGCTTGTGGATCCACGCCTCCAACTTGATACTTCCTTTAGTTCTTCTAGTTCATCCCCGGTCCTTCCCTTGGCTCGACCTGTGCCCTCACAGCGTCTTTGTTCCCTGTCCTGACTGTGCTGGGTGCTGTCCGGCTGGAGAGGATGGCCTTTAGACCCCATGGGACTGTCCAGGCACTAAGGAGCCAGCTTTGCCTGGAAAAAGCCCAAGGCAGCCTTAGAAACCTGTGACAATGGCACTTGCTCTTCCTCAGCCTTCCACCAGCTTCATCTTTCTTCTTCCCTCCTTGTCTTCTCTACCAGGGTGACATGGTCACCACCTCCTCCTACCCCCAGGGCACAGGCTCAAGTCTGACCTGGGCGAGGTGGGGCAAGCTCCAAACCAGAGTTTCCTCAGTTATCAAAAGCCCCATGCTCTAGGGGGACCCCTCCATGCACACCCAAACCCAGCTTTCCCAGTTTCATCCCCAGAAAGATTGTGTGCCACCAACTTGGGAGGAAATTCACCTTCTCTTCCTATCACCCTCAAATTCAACCGGGAAGATATTGCTCATTGGCTTTAGAAACAGAACACTCAAGCTGGACTTTTATGGTCCGTGAAGAACACTGCACTCATGCCCACCCACACCTGGTCTCTGCCCCTGCCTGGCCCCGTCCAGCTGCCCAGAAGCAGCTCTGCACAAGCTCTCCAGGCTCCTCCGCAGAAACTTGGTAGATTTACGAGTTCAGCCTTGGCTGAGGCCTTTTCCTCATGGCTCCCAGCCACAGTCCAGCTGCTCTCCCACATCCCATGCAGCCGTGGCTAGGACGTTCTGTGTGTCCTTTCCTGCCTCCACCCCAACATGCTGAGTCACCACTTCAGCCCCCTTCCCCCTGCCGCCCTGGCCAGCCTTGTGGAAGAGCAACGCATCACACCAGTGACCCCAGCCACTCCCAACCTGCCCCGGACCTCATCTGTTCTCATGATGGCAATGGTGGCAGCCCTGTCTAAGGCTATCCCTGTTGGGACTCTAGTTGTCTGGACCCATTCCCTCCACTCCAAGGCCCTGAAGTTCAACAAAAAGGTGGTTCCTTCTGTCTGAACTTCAGGCACCTGGTTTGAAGCTACACCTGATCTGGAAGATTACTTCCAGTATGTGTGAACTCTATGATTAGGCCTCAGATAATTTCTTCAGGACCAGAGATAAATTCCACCAGAACTCTATCAGATTTCTAGCACCCAAGGCAGGACTTAGGGAGAACCTGGAGGGCAGTGTGTGGGGGAGGAACTGACCCTAAAGAGGTCATTTGATAATAGATTGTAGCCCGCCGGTGTGGCTCAGTGGTTGAGTGTTGACCCATGCACCAAGAGGTCACCAGTTCGATTCCCAGTCAGGGCACATGCCCAGGTTGTGGGCCTAATCCCCAGTGGGGGGCATGCATGAGGCGGCCAATCGATGTTCTCTCTCATTGATGTTTCTATCTCTCTCCCTCTCTCTCTCTCTCTAAAATAAAAAAAAAAAAAATCTAGAAAATACATTGTAGAGCCCTGGCCAGTTTGGCTCAGTGGTTAAAATGTTGGCCCATGGACCAAAGAGTTGCAGGTTTGATTCCATTCACAGGCATGGCCCTAGTCGGGGTCATGTGGGAGGCACCAGGTCTCTCTCACATCGATGTTTCTCTCTCTCTCTCTTTCTCTCTCTCTCTCTCCCCCCTCCCTTCCTCTCTCCCTCCCTCCCTCCCTCCCACTCTATCTGAAGATAAATAGAAAAAATGTCCTTGGGTAAGGATTAAAAAAAAGAAGAAAATATATTGTAGAAATACTCCAGAGCCAGTGGAGCCATACGCCAAAATCATACAAGAAACCCACTGAACCCGACAGTAATTATCAACCCCTGGAAAAAGATACACATTCTTCTTCTAAGGTCCTTGAAGGATGTAATTGCATCAATCAATATCCTTCTTATAAAGGCCTGGGTGCCAAGATGAGGGTTTACTCCCCGGTGCTCCTGAGTACTCTCCATCACAGATGTGCTCATGGCTTCGCCTGGTCTGCAGGCTGGAACCTGGGAGCTGAGTCAGATCCAATGGGTAAGAGTCAACATGAAGAAAGGTAGGGCCTGGCAGAGAAGTCAGATCCCTAAGCTTGAGTCACAGTCCAGGAGAAAAAGGTGAGTGTGATGATCATTTGTCCCCAAGAGCTGGTGAGAGTGGCCTGGTGGGGAGGAGAGCATCTGCCTCTCCAGAGACTTGGGGCTTGACCTCTTCCTCCTTTGTTCTTTGGCCCAAGGTGCTGGCTGTGGTGGAGTTGAGACCAGAGCACCCCAGACCTCCAGCATAGAGACGAGATCGCATCGGCCACTTCTGCAAGATATGGGGATGAGGAGTGAGTAATGCTCATGACTGCAGCCTCTCATAGTCCTTGGCACCCAAAAGTGTGTCTTCCCCAGCCTCCCTCCCTGAACCCTCTCCTGCCACGACCGCTCTGATGAGAGTGGTCTCCGGCTCCGCACCACTTCTGGCCCCACACATTCTCCTGACCACTTGAGCCTGGCAGGGAAGCGCTTGAGGAGCAAGGGTCCCAAGAGGAGCCCCCCACAGTGGGGAGGGAGGCGATGGTACAGCTGGCTGCAGCTAGGGCTGGGGGTGGGGGAAGGGCAAAAAAACACCCCTGACACTGAACAGTTGTGACCCTGTCTCTTGCACAGCCTCCCATCCAAGTGCCTCTGGCCCCAGATGTCAGTGCTACTCGCACCCTCTAAGCTGGGGACCTCCCAAGATTGTCCATCCTTCCAGCAGGAGTGGGGCAGTCCTAGAAAATATCAGGTTGATTTGCCATGGGGTCTGCCCTCTTCGCAGCTCCTCCACCTGGGGCAGAGGGAGCACTGCTCCTGGATAACCAGCCCCACTGCCAGAGCTCTAGACCCCACCAGCTCTCACGTGTTCATTCTTCAACATACCGTCTTCCGTGCAGTGGCCTTACTTTGATCGCCCTTTTACAGCTAAGGTAACAATTCTGCCACCCCAGGTGCACTGTCAGTATTTCAGAGTTGCCCCCATTTAGTCTCAAATTCTTGCATTTTAGCTACATTTGCATGAAAAAAAAAAAACAAATCTCAAGTTTCAAGACATTTCAGAACTGTGATGTTTAGGGGAGACAGATGGTGAAAAGTATCCTTTGTAAAAATAAACTTGACCCCATTTCAATGCTACCCTCAGGGGGCAGAGATGGCTCTTCCTTGTAACATGAGCATGCTCTGCAACCAGCAACTTACATGCCATGTCTTGCTTGGAGGCTGTGAACAGGGAAGGGAGAGTATGAAGTCAGACACCCTTGGGTTCACCTATTTAGCTACTAAATCTCCCTGAGCTGTGGTTTCCTCATCTGTAAAGTAATCCTCCTTTGGTTCTTGTGTGGATTCAAAGATTAAAATGCACTTAGCCCAGCTCCTGGCCTAACTTTAGCATCCGAATAAATGAGCTGCTATTGAGATGGCGATACATTGTTAATTATACTTTTTATTCATAATCTCATTTCATACCCTGGAAGAGAAGTAAGGCTCATGCTATCTTCCCTTTCACAAATAATGAGGTTGAGGCACCAGCCCAGGAACATGCTCTTTTCCTCGCCTGCCACATGGCACCCCCTAGTCTTGGGGCCTCCCTGCCACATGGCACCCCCTAGTCTTGGGGCCTCCCTGCCACATGGCACCCCCTAGTCTTGGGGCCTCCCTGCCACATGGCACCCCCTAGTCTTGGGGCCTCCATGACTTTCCCTGCTCTTGGAGGAAACACATTCTCATGAAGCCATTTCTTTCTTCACTTAACCCTCGCTTGAGGATATTATTCCATTTATCTTCAGATAGAGTGGGAGGGAGGGAAAGAGAGAGAGAGAGAAGCATCAATGCAAGAGAGACACATCGATTGGTTGTCTCCCGCACGACCCCATCCAGGGCCGGGAACCAAACCCACAACTCTTTGGTCCATGGGCAGATGTTCTAACCGCTGAACCAAACCGGTCAAGGCTCAGCAAGTCATTTCTAATAACCACTCCCCACTGCGGGCAGGGGGCCCAAGTCCAATATCCTTCTATCCCAACCCCCTTCCCTGAGGCCCTGGGCCCATGGCCTACCTTGAGAGGGTGCAGGTAGCGGAGTCCACGCAGGAAGGGTGGCCAGGCAGGGCCGGGCAACTCCTGGCCCAGCATGCGGGTGAGGTGGGCTATGTAGCTGGTGGCCAGAACCAGCACATCCAACTTGGAAAGCTTGGTGTCGGGGGGCACTGCAGGCAGAGCGGCCTGCAGGGCCAGGAAGGCCTGGCTCAGTGACCTCACCCGGCTCCGCTCCCGCGCCGCGTTCTCAGGACTGGCCTCACTCTGCACAGAAGACCCCAGTGAGTGAGTCTTACTGGACCCGTCTGTCCCTGACTTCGAAGAGCATTCTGGTGCGAGGTCTGCACTCTGAACAGCAGGCCCCAAGGACATCAGCCCGTGTCCGCTCTTGGCCCCGCCCTACCTTACAGCTGAGAAAATGGAGACGAGGCCTTGCCTGGGGTCAGATGGAACAGGATGGCAGAGCTTGGCTCAGAACCTAAGAGTCTGTGCTGTTTCTAATCCTCCTCTGTGCCTCCTCCTAGCCCTCTTCCCCCCCACACCCAAGTCTGAATTCTGCTTATCAGGGTGCCCTGGGGCCCCAGGGAGCCCAGCCATGCCCTGCTCAGTAGGGATGACCCTTGGCCCGGCCAGGTCCTGAGAGGAAGAGGCAGCTGCGGTAAAGAGGAAAGGACACCAAACTGGACTCAAATCACAGTTGAAGTCCTGGCCCTGCCGCCGACTGTTGCTGTGGGACCTTGGGAAATTCACATCACTCTCCAGGCCTCAGTGTCCTCCGAGGAAGTGAGTTGGGCCAGGTCTCTCAGCCACGCTCTGGTTAAGACCAGCTTAGCCCAGCTGCCAAGCATGGAGCCTCAGAGTTGAAGCGGCCAGTGTCCCCTCTTTAGGGCAGGGATGGTGACACTGAATGACATTCTGACACTGGAGGTGACTTCTCTCAGCCCTGCTAACCTCTGCCTCCCCCGCTCCCTCTGAGGGCCAGTATTTCCTTACCCTGCCAAGAGCCAGGCTCCTGGTCCTGGCCCCTCTTGGGTCAGGGGCAGCCCTGCTCCGCCTTTGGTTGCTCCAGCTGGTCTCTTCCCACAGGTCTTGCCTTGTCCTGCTCAGGCAGCTCCTCCTCCTGTCTGTGGCTGCTAGCAACCTCGGCCTGGCCTTCAGCGGGCTCTGCCCCACTCCAGGCATGGCTGGTGCCCCTCTGGCCTTTCTCTGTGACATGCCACACCCTAGGGATGTGATGTCACAGCCCCCAGGACAGAAACACAGTGCCTGAGGGAGTCCTTGGGCTCCAGCTAGCTGGGGCAGGCTGGTCATCCCACCAGCAATGTCTGTATCTGAGGGAGCTGGCGCCAACTCAGTCCTGCTCGCTTCTTGCTCCGGGAAAACCGCCCACCAGGCACAGCCCCCGCAAAATCCTCCTGCCTGCCTCCCAACCAGCTGAGGGGTGGGGGTGCTGGGTGTTAGGAGTGGCCAAGCCCTGGGAGGAGGCCCCTGCTGAAGAAGGCATGAGGATGGTGGGAAGGGAGCTTCCTTCCTGGAGCCTTGCCTGACCCTGACAGCAGTCCTATGATACATCTGCACCTTTAGCTTTGGGGTTCAAGTTCATGGAAGGGCCCTGAACCTTCTTCTCTTTGCCAGAAGCTTGCCTGTGCACATCCCTAAAAGGACCTTTTCTCCCTTTGCCAGCAAATATGACCTTCCAGCTCCAGGGCACTACTCCCCACCCCCAAGCATACCTCGGATTTCCAGCCCAGTGCTTTTTCCTTTTACCTTTCCATCCCCCTGGAAGACCTCCTTCCAGCTCTGCCAGGGGAAAGGCTGCCCATCCTGCAAGTTATGCCTTTTATTTGTGAAGGCACAGAGCCCATGTCTCCCCCTGTTTCATTGATGCAACTATTTATGCGTGACCACACCCTGGCTAGCTTCCTAACAGTTCAAAGTTCTCAGATAGTTGCATGCCAGGCAGTGTGCTAAGCACTTTGTGCGTATTATCTCTATTTCTCAGATCAACCTTATGAGAAAATAGACTCTTACATATTCATTTTACAGATGGGAAAACTGAGGTATCAGGAGATGAAATAACTTGCCCAGTGTCGAACATTTGGTAAGTGATGCAGGTGGAAAACCCAGGCAATTGGTGGGCTTGGAAGGCTGCCCTCACCCTATCCTGTTCTGCTTTGAGTGAGTAGTTCACCTGCATGTCCACACGCAGACATGAGGTCTTTGAAGGCCAGGACAGGATGCTTGCTGAGTGGCACTGCATCTTCCATACAGCTAGTTAGGAGCAGGCAGGCTGAAGAAATAGCAAATCTGCCACTGGAGCCCCTGCCTGCCCGCAAGTTACAAACTCTGCCCGCAGCAGCGTCGGCTTGCATGTCCCTTGTCCCTCACTCTTGAACTCCAGGGGAGACAAAATAAGTAAAGTATACATAGGACAGAGAGACAAAGGTGGTTGTAGGGATAGTGAGGCAGACACCAAGCCAACCAGAGAAAAAGGAAAAAAAGACAAGTAAATTGAACTTAAATATCCACCAATAAAGAAGTGATGTGCAGGACCAGAAAGAATAAGACAGAGCTCTGTATAATGACATGGAAAACTCCAAGATGCACAATTAAGTGAAAAAACTTAGTTGTAAATCAATATGCATAATAAGATCCAGCCAGGATGAAAAACACCAAAAAACAAAGCTGTAAATGTGAAGGTTTATGTACTTATGCGAACATATAGAAAGGAGACTGAAAGATGTGTGCCAAGGTGTGTGTGTGTGTGTGTGTGTGTGTGTGTGTGTGTGTGTTTTAACTCTGGATGCAGAGAATTAAAAATACACCTCAATTCATGGCACAGTCTTTGGTACAGCACCGATTGCTAGCCTCCCTCCCACTTGCCCTCCCCCCTTCTTTCCTTCCATTTCCTTTTATCCCATTCCCATTATTCTTCCCTTTCATAAGCAACCATTCCAAATTGTTTAATGTCTACCCCTTTATTAGTGTGGTTTGAAAATACGTACACGCTTCTTTGATACTCCTCTCCAGGAGGTGAAGCCTGACTCCCTCCCTCTGAGCATGGGCTGGACTTAGCAACTTGCTTCTAACAAACAGAATGTGACAGAGGTGTGCAACTTCTAAAACAAGGTTATAAAAGACACTGTAGCTTCCTCCTTCCTCTCTCTCAGCTCACCCAGGTTATTCATATCACTTTGGGGGAGCCAGCTGCCATATCATGAAATAGCCCTAAGGACAGGACTCGTGGCAAGGAGCGGAGGCCTCTCACCAGCAGCCCTAACTTGCACAGAGCTAGTGCACCGCCTAGAAAACAGACCCTCCCTCCCTGGTCCAGCCTTCAGATGACTGCAGCCCTGGTTGACAGTTTGAGTGCAGCCCAGGAGATTCCCTGAGCTGGAGTCACCCACCTAAGCTGCTCTAACCCATAGAATTCCGGACCCACAGAAGCCATGTGAGATAATAAATGTTGGTTGCTGTTTAAGTTTGGGGGTAATTTAGTAAGCAGTAATAGATAACTAATGTGGTAGGTGTTATTGAACCATACGTATTGCTGTATGAATGAATTTCAGTAAATGATAATACATTTTATACTGTAAATCTATAATACAATACTGCGTTTGTATTAGGTACTGTATTATATATTTCATTGTTACTTCTTCCATTTGAGCCTATGTTTTTTAAAAATATGTTTTTATTCATTTTTTTTTAGGGAGAGAGAGATAGAAACATCGATGTGAAAGAGAAACATCCATCAGCTGTCTCTTGAACAACCCCTACCAGGGATCGAGCCTCTTAGTCCTTGGGATGACACTCAACCCACTGAACCACACTGGCTGGGCCAAGCCTGTTTTTAAGTCCCTTGCTTCTCCCTGCTGCAAAGTACTCCACAGTGCACACCCATAACATTTGGAGCACCCAGAGCCCCAGAGATGAACACCCAGATTGCCCCCAGCTCCTCTTCACCCCGAATAATGCTGTCATAAATACTACTGCACATTCTTCCTGGATCCAGGTAAGACTTTAAAAACATATGTCCAGGAGCAGAATGCTGGGTTAATTGACAACAGACTTGCCAGAGTGCCATCCAGAATGGATGCGGAGCCTGCATGTCCAACAGCATGGCGCGGGGCCCCAGAGCCCCACATCCTCACCACTGCCTGGTAGTGACCAGATTCCTAGTTTTACAGTCAATAGGTATAAAGGGTGACCTTGTTGCCATTTTCATTTGCCCTTATCTAAATACTGATGAGTTCAAGCACCCTTTGTGTGTGGTGCTTGGTAGAGACTCAGTTTTATTTTTCTCCATGTAGAGCCAGTTTTATTATCTCTATATCGGCAGACTGTTTTCCCAGCATCATCTACTAACGAGTCCATTCTCTTTCTGTTTAGTCTCACTCCCACTTAACCATATATTAAGTTTCCATATTTGTTTATAAGTCAATTTCTGAGCTCTCTACTCTGTTCCACTGATCTTTGTGTCTGTACTTGAGTCAATATCACACTACTTTTATTATGACTTTGTAGCATGTTTTAATATTTGGAAGAATAAAACACCCTCTTTACTCTTATTTTGCAAGATTGACTTAGTTATTTCTAGACCCTATTTTTCCAGATATATTTTAGAGAAAGTTTATTGAGTCCCTAAAAATGCTACTAAAATTTTTACTGGGATTTCATTGAATCAGTGGGTTAATTTGGGAAGTTTGCCGTTTTCATACTTTTAAGTTAATTGTTTCAAAAACATGGAATGTCTTTCACTTTATTCCAATTATCTTCCATATTTTTTGTTAGTTTTATAGTTTACACCACGAATGTCTGTGTATTCTTGCTTCAAACTACAAATGAGTGAAATCGTTCATGGTTTTATTGTTCTAAATAGTTCATAGTTTTTGTTGCTTTTGCAAATGCTCTTATTCTTATAATCAACTGTAAAGAAATGCTATTAAATTTTTTAAAGTTTTTCTTGAATCCAGCAACCCTGTTGAACTTTATTGATCTTAATATTCTGTTGATTGGTACTGGTTGTATTTTAGCCCAGGGAGGTTAGCATGGAGCTGTTCCTTGATTTTATTATTATTATTATTAATATTATTATTATTATTGTACATGCCCCTAGCAGGAACCAAACCCAGGACTCTCTGGTCCGCAGGCCGACACTCCAACCGCTGAGCCAAACTGGCCAGGGCTGCCAGTGTAGGTTTTTTATATATGACCTTTACTAACCTACGTTAAGGCAGTACCTCTCTATTCCTCATTTACTAAGAGGTTTTTTGTTTTTAATTATAAATAACTGTAGAACTTTATCCAACGTTTTTCTGCAACAATTGAAATAATCATTATTTTTCTCCTTCATTCTAGTAATATGTTAAATTTATATCCTTAGGTTTTTCTGATGAGCAATCTTTCTGAAGTTCCTGTAATAAGTCCCATCTGCTATGATTTATTTATTTTTAAATACACCACCCTATTCATTTAGTTAATATGTTATTTAGGATTTTTGCAACCATTTCGTATGTGAAATGATATTATAATTTTCTTTAACCATGATTATTTGGTTTGGGAGTCAAACTTACACTAACCTCATACAATGAGCTGTGTAGCTCTCACTCTTTTCTATTTTCTCAAACAACTTTCTACATAAGATAGGAATTAACTCTTCTTCGAAAGTTTGGTGAACTGTACTTGTAAAACCACTGGGCCTGAGTTTTTTTCTCTGGCAGAGAGGAGAAGAAAATTTTAACTTCCATCTCAATTTCTTTACTTTCTTACTGAGTGATTTAAGTTTCTTATTTGTTCTTATAAATATTTGGTATTTTATATTTTTCTATAAATATATCTATTTCACTTAGTAGTGGTAGGGGACAAGAAAAGCAGCCATCTCCTTCCTCTTCTAGAACTTCTCCTAGTGCCTCAATGCTAGAGAAGTTTCACGATCCCTGTAGTTTCACGACTTCCAGCCCCAAATGGGAACCCTCTTTTATGGTTTTTCATCTCTGTTGTGCCTCTCGATATAACCCTCTTTGTTTGCTCTGTATTTAATTTGCACCCAACTCTCTTTTTGTTCTTCACCAGTGTTGCCAGAAGTATGCTTAGTCTTTTCAAAGACCAGCCTTTGAGTTTCATATGCTATATCTCTTTTAAAAATTATTTATTTAAAAACTGTAATAAAACATATAAAGTAAAATGTACTACTTAAACCATTTTAAAGTGTACAG